ATCACAAACAGGAAAGCACCTTTAATTCCTATACCTAAAGTGTCATGTGTAAATTCTTCCTAACCACAGGAGGTCAATGAGCATTTAGACACCTTATTTGATACATATAGCTAAAATTCTTTATTTTAGCATAATAGTAATAGGTTGTTAAAAAATTTATGCAGATATATGCAAAAATGATTGACAATGTCATCACAGATGCCCGGTCAACTGGTAAATATTATCATTGTAAGTAAATCAAATGTCTACCAGATACATATTTAAATTTTTCAAGCTTATGTTTGCGGTATAAAATAAAATCTTGTGTATCTGTCTGCAGTTGTACGACTTATGGGGCGTGCGGCTTCACACATTACATTAGAATGTGCTTTGCAAACTCATCCAACATTACAATTATTGGAGAAGATGTCGTTCGGTTATATTGTTATTCATATTCAAATTGCTTATATCCATTTTTTATGTATTAAATTGGTGTTGTGGGAATATTAACGCATTAAGCATTGGTGTCTCTGTCACAGCTTGATTGACACTTATTTTCTAATTTTCATTATGTTTTCTTGTGGAAAGTAATATGGTGCTAAGTAATCTATTGGTGCAACCAAAAGATATCCACTTGCCGAATGCATCTGACATATCTTTCTTCAGGTTGCTGCAAAGAAGCTGACACTGAAAAATGTCACTGACCACATTGTGAATGTAATCTTGAAGCGTGCTGAGCTGGGTTATAACTATGGTGTCATACTTATCCCTGAGGGTCCAATTGATTGCATTCCTGAGGTATTATTCTTGATCTTTAATATAATAACTTTAAACCCTTCTTTATTCATGTTCCTTTGTTTACTTGGAAAGCAAGTGTTCTACTGTTTCACACATAGATGCACACTCAAATAACTGCATTGACTAACATATAATGTTTTTAACCTTTCCGTTTGCAGGTGCAGCAACTTATTGCTGAATTGAATGAAATTCTGGCCCATGAGGTTGTAGATGAAGATAGGCTTTGGAAAAAGAAACTTACAAGCCAATCTCTAGAGCTTTTTGATTTCCTACCTGAAGCAATTCAAGAGCAGTTGATGCTTGAAGGAGATCCTCATGGAAATGTTCAGGTATATTTTTCATTTTCCAATTTGACTTAAATCTGTCCGGGGATGTTCTGGGCACATCAATACAGCATGCATGCTAATATTTATTTTTACCACTAGGTTGCCAAAATAGAAACAGAGAAGATGCTTATTCAAATGGTTGAGACAGACTTGGAGAAGAGGAAGCAGGAAGGTTCATATAATGGCCAGTTCCAAGAACAGTCTCACTTTTTCGGGTACTTAATTTTTAACCTAACTACATAATCCTTCGGCTAAATGTGGTTTCAATGATTAAGAATACGTCCATCCCGTGTGTTAGTGACACGCCCCAACCCTGATATTCCCCGAATACCAGGATAGGCACGTGCTGGCCGACACCCAAGGGTTACAAAAGCCATTTATTGAGTGCAAATACTGAAAACAAGGGATAAATAAGGCTTATAAATATAAAAGAATAATTAATATGCAAATAAGGACCGTGTTCATAGCACAACTCTAATCTAGAACACTAAAAGAAAATAATATAAAATTGAATGAAACAAAGGAGTGGGTCCTACACCGAGAGGACTCGAAGATGCCAATGCGGAAGTGCCTGGACGTTGGGATTGTATGCCTCGATTCTAAGTCCTGAAGGGGGCGCAAAACAAATATGAATGGACCAAGTTGATATATATATATATATATATATATATATATATAATAAAACAGTTATCAACGTACTAACCCCCAGATTTTATGAAAACACATATATAATTATAAACATAGGTTTTCCGAAACCTAGCATGTCGTGCAATATCTCAAATCATAACTTGTATATATAATAATCACTAGTGACTGTCCGATATAACTCTCCAGGCCCCATACCGGCTCCCTGTCTCTGAGCAGACCGTCAGAGGAAAATACACTTCAAGCCCCATGCCGGCTTCCCGTCTCTGAGCAGACAGTTAGAGGAAAACACACTCCAGGCCCTATGCCAACACCAAACCGTCGCCCGGGACGGACCGGATCTGTCCCTACGTTCCGTAGTGGAAAGGACCACTAAGTAAGTACAAAACCAGTGAACATACATATATTGAAAATCAACTTCATAGTATACAGTCATGCATCATCTATACTATAAAGAGGTGTTCTAAACATGTTCTAAATATCATATCGTCATTCATCAGAAATTCTATAAGAACATGGGTTATAGGAAAAATAGTAATAATTCAAACTAACCTCAGTACGCATGTTATCTCGTAAAACGTTTCAGAAAACATAATCATCAAATCATGTTTTTCATGTATGCATTTCTACTATCAAAACATGCATTTTCAGAAGGGGTCCACTCACAGTATTTCTTCGTAAAAAAACCACGCCCTCTAGCGAAGAAGGAAACGTCACAGATAATTGCTTCTAAGCACATAAATGGTACATTTAGTCAAACTCTACTCAAAAGACTGAATTTGGGAAAACGGACATCGGAAACGGGTTCAGGACGTCGAAATTATCCTAGGAGGGGTTCCGCACTAAAACCCAAAAAGTCAACGGTCAAAGTCAACGTTGACCGTTGACTGGTCAAAGTCAAAGTCAACGCTATCAGACCGGGTCCGGGTCAACAGGTCAAACGGGTCTGGGCTTGGATACGGATTGGGTTAAAGGGTTTGGACTTGGGTTGGATCCGGGTTTGTGCCTAAGGGTTTGGGTCTAATGAGTTTTAGGGTTAACGGGCCGGAGGCTCTAAAAGAAACAGCCCAAAGGCCTTTGAATTAACAAAACAAAACAATAAAAAATAAAAAGGTTGGGTTGGGCTGCCCAGGGTTTTGGGCTTGGCAGGAAAGGCCCAAAGGCCTTGGGTTTGGTGGTTCGCTGGATTCCAAGGAAGGAGAACGCCGGATTTCGGCCGGAGAATTCCCAAGCTCCGATGGAGCTCAAAACTCAACCAAAAGATGTCTTTCAATATACCAATTGAACCCCGAAGGTAAGGAATTGAAATATACCCTTGGTTCCCGTCATCGTGGTCGGAGTTGGCCGAAAAACAGCCTGGAAGCCACGGGTGTCCGCTGGAAACTGGGTAAGATTCAAATGAGCATAACTTCTTCAATACTCAATGAAATTGGGTTAAACAAAAAGGAAAGTTGTAGTACTCAGCGAGATGAAGAGATTGATACCTTGCATGTCGGCTAACTCGCCGTGGTTTGGCCGGAAATTGCCTCGAAATGGACGGTGCTCGTCGGAAAACTGAGGAAATGTCTCCGAGGTGGTTTCTTCATGGTTTGACGTCCAAAACACAACCACGGGGTCAGAACATAACTATAGGTGTGGGCATGGGTGTGTGTGTGTGTATTCTTGTTGGAGAAAATAGCACCGAGAGGGGGGATGGAGAAATCACAGAGGAAGAAAGAGAGAAGAGAGAAGAGAGACTTTTCTAAAAAAAATAAAAGAAAAGGGAAAGGGAAAGAAAGCGGGGAACAAAACAGGGGGTGGACCCCTTGGGCTCACCAATTAAGACTCAAAAACAATTTTAAAAAGGAAAGTATCCTCCAAACTTAGTGAAAATACAAAAATACTTATTTTCTTACGTAAATCTCGGAACGGGTTGTTACAGTTGGGGCTTTGAGGGTAACTGATTTGCTCGCTGGCATGGATTGATCAGGATACAGGTTTAGTGATTGTGTATCGGAGATATTGATTAATGTTCGCATCCCTAATTTTGTTCACCTGTTGTCATTTTTTTTTTTTGTAGGTATGAAGAAAGATGTGGTTTACCAACCAACTTCGATTCTACCTATACTGCTATGCATTGGGTTATGCCGCTGGAGCTCTCCTTCAGAGTGGAAAAACTGGGTTGATCATCAGTTTGTACCTCTATCCATTATCTCATTTATTCAGTGTGCCAAAGTATATTTTTTCTTAATTAGGCTTGTATTAGTTGCTGTTCCATGTTCCATTGTCATAGTTGTATTATTTCTTAATATCAAGTCTTTTTATGCATGCTATTTTTCGTGACGTGGATCCAGGTCGGGAATTATGATGCCCCAGTGGAAGAATGGACGGTTGGCGGAACGGCATTGACTTCATTAATGGACGTGGAAAGGAGACATGGTATCGTAAATCTTTCGTTATCGTTTTTGTTATCGTGTAAAATTTATCGTGTGTTATGTATGTGTATGTACCTTTTCACGGACATGAGGTGTAAATTTAACAAAGAAAATGATAAACACACACATTGTTACATTTTGTCGGTTGTTTCTATTTTGTTTATATTATACTATTGGATGATGCAAGGGAGTTTTTAAATTTTGTAAATTAAATAATATAGAAGTTGATGATATAATTATTATTTAAATTTTAATTAACATGTTTATTTCTTATTAATGTGTATTCTTTATTAATGACACATAATTTAATTTATAAATTAGATCTTCCTAATATTATCTTTATACTACTGCATTCCTCAAATAAAAAATATATATATTTAATCGAGGCATGTGTTGCATGCTTGTACGGATGAAGCATATTTAAAAGGGTTGCTAGAAAATGGCGATTAACCTTTAAATATTCGATCGTTGTATGCTTTACGATTTCCAGCATTCTTTCGAATTAATATATAAAATTATACCTGAAGGTAACATTATAGCTACACGTGTTTCTCACTTGAATATTGGTGATTAGATATTATGTATTGATTAACGTATTTATTTTTTTATTTGTGATAGATTATTTAATTTGTAAATTTGATTTAAAAGTTTAATCTCCTTAATATTATCAACAATTACATAATTTAGCTTACAAAATTGAGTTTCAAAATTTAATTTCCGTAACATTACCCATAATTAAAACCTAATATTATAAGCAAAGGTCGATGCTTGTACGGATAAAGCACGTACAGCTAAAAAGCAGTAAGTAACCTGAACTCTTCGATCCCTTATGCTTTATCGTTCAATATTCTGTGTTACTAAATTAAGTAAAGCATATCGCAGCAGCAGTAGCAGCTGCCTATAAATCAAAGCAACAACCGCCGCATTACATGCCCCAAGCTATCTAGTACACTACAAATGGCGTACTGGAAAACGCTAACTGTTCGGCCGGATCCGATGAAAGAGAGAGTGGATAGCTCTCGGCCGGATCAGAAAGAGAGATTAAGGAAAATGCAAGACTTGAAAGATTCCTATAAATATGCCATGAATGAGGAATGGGAATGGGAACGGCTGAAGGAAAAGTTCGAGAATCATCCGGAAAAACTGCTCGATGAAATGACAGTGGACGGGGACACTGTATTGCACCTTGTGTCTTCTTGCAGCAGCAAATCAGGTAAAGAAGTCCTCGAAAAGGTTATCAATATACTCAATTCAACCAATGAAAAGATAAATGCTCTAAGGTTTCCTAATAAGTACGGAAACAATACTCTCCACGAGGTGAGTGTGTCCGGCAATCAGGAAGCGGCAGAGTACCTGGTGAGCAAATTCAACGAGCCTGTTCCAGAAGAGGTCAGGATTATCAGTACTAGTAGTACTGATAAAGACAATTATGCGCGGAAGCTGCTGGATCTGGAGGGTCGGGATTCAGAGAATTATGCGCTGCAGCTGCTGGAGACACGGAACTATTTAGGAGAAACTCCGCTCTTCAGGGCGGCTGCTCTCGGCCACACAGACTTGGTGAAGTTTTATGCCGACAAACTACAGGATCAGGAGGACAATCTTTGGAGGCACTTCCACAGAGATGACAAAATGTCCATTCTTCATATCACAGTCGTTGCGCAACATTTTGGTCTCTCTCTCTCTCTCTCTCTCTCTCTCTCTCAGAACTCGCAATGTAGATTAATAACTTTTGCTCTTTATCTTCCACAACGCAGAGACAGCTATTTGGTTACTGGAGAAATACCCATATCTAGCGCTCCTTAAGGAAGACAAAGGATTGACAAGCCTTCAGTTGCTAGCCCAAATGCCAACTGCCTTTGACCCAAAATTTAAAGAAAGCAAATGGAAGATGCTTATTTATCATTGTACGTACCATTACTCTACAAACTGCTATGTGTGCGCACGTACGCATGCTATATATACACAGGTGCAAGCATGTTTTTTTTTAATGAAGCAGTAATCTCATACTTAATATCATTATATATGCAGGTCTTCCCGACGGAGGAAATGTGGTCACACCAAATCAGAAGGATGATGTGGAGAGCGGCATGGATGGCAACCATCCCCGTCTATCCATCTTTCGGAACAAGCTTGCAGGTAATCAAATTTGTAATCTAATTAATTGATCGAATTGGATTTTTTTTTCACTATTCTAACGAAGTTGCATGCATTAAATGTTTGGCAGTTGTTATGAAGGCTTACTATTCATTATGGGACTCCCTTGCTAAAGGTTTGTTTATTTTCCGCCTCATTTTTATGAAGGCAAACTCTTGTTACTGAAACTCTAAAAAAAAATATTATTTATTTGTGAAGTGCCGATTTAGTTCCTGAATTATCATCTTAATAAAAATTAGGTCCTTAAATTATTTTTTTGGTAAAATAAGTCCCTAAATTCATTAAAAATTGCTAATTTCATCCATACTATTATATTCTTATCCATTTTTTCATCAACTTAAATCACTTGACACACTTTAGAGTGTAATACTGTCATTTTCTCGCCTATAAACCCTTAACATTTCATATAGGTTGCGAATCTAACGTCTAATTTAATCTCCTAAGTTAACTTACACTATTTCTTATGAAAAACTACTAATTTACCCTTCAAAGTTCACTACATACACCATTTCTTTATGAAAAACTATCAATCTACCCTCCAATGTGTATTACATGCAAGTACCGTGACTTAAATTGACGGAAAATTGAATATAGTAGCTTTGACTATAATATTAGGGATGTAATTGGCAGATTTTTATAATTCAAAGAATGATTTTTCTGAAAAAAAAAATAGTTTAGGGATCTAATTTTCACTGAGATAATAATTCAAGGACTAATTGACAATTCACCCTATTCCTTATGATTTTATATGACAAGATGAAGTGTACATGATAACTTATTTAGAGTGCTCATAACATCTTCTGCTTGGCCATGTGATGGATAGGAATAGGAGGCCCACATGAAGATGTAATCTACATGATATGGAAGGAGAAGAAAAACAAAAAATCACTGAAGAAACTCATCCCATTGCTCGTCAAGTTGGACGACTATTCTTTGTTGATTACTAATAAGCAACCAAATATCAGGACCATTTCTCTATGGTCAGGGGAAAAACCTGATAGAAAAAAGGAAGCAACCAAATCGGATACGACAAATGGTGATGAAGGAGGTGAAAAGGAAAAGGCGGCTGCAGATAAGCATTTCTCTGGGGTCAGGGAGATAACCCAATCGGATAGATGTAAAAAAGAAGAGGAAGCAACCAAATCAAAAAAGGAGGCGAAGAGTGAAGCTTACAAATCTACTCCATTGCTTATAGCAACTATCACAGGATTTTCAACCATTGTGAAGGAGATACTTGAACAGCATCCTCAGACAGCCGAGCTTGTTAACGAAAATGAACGCAACATTTTGCATCTGGCCATTAAGAACCGTCAGAAAGAGATCCTTGATCTTATCCAAAGCGAACCAACTCTGTTGTCAAAGCTGAGTAAGAGGATAGACCACAATGGAAACACCATATTGCACCAGGCTGCGGATAGAACTTACTACTCTATATCAGTGTCTCAGAAAGTAATAGGCCCTGCCATGGAATTGCAAAAAGAGCTGCTCTGGAAGCAGGTAATGTTCTCTTACTAGACTTATCTCGTCACACAGATATTTGTATTACTGATTAAGTCTATCGACCTTATAAATACTTATGTTGTTAGACAAATATTTCTATTACAAAACCTATACGTTGACATGATAAATGTGTACGTGTGTGTGTCAGCGTATAAAAGAGCTGTTACCACCTCATTACATCATGCACCATAACGACAATGATCAGACAGCGGAGGATTTGTTCAATGCTGGGCATGACGAGCTTCTGAAGTCCGCACAAGATTGGGTAAAAGAAACGGCTCAGTCATGCTCAACCGTGGCGGTGCTAGTGGCCACTGTGGTCTTTGCAGCCGCCTATGCCATTCCTGGGGGTAACAACGAGCAAAGTGGTCGTCCTGTTTTCGAGAACAATCCTCTCTTTTTGCTCTTTACCAGTATGGACGTTGTGGCCATCGCCTGCTCATTATCTTCTGTGGCATTCTTTCTCTCGGTCCTCTCCTCCCCTCTCGAGTACCCAAATTTCGTTAAAAGCATTCCTCGCAAGGTCATGATAGGATTCGTCTTTCTCTTCGTGTCCATGGCAACCACCATGCTCGCCTTTGCTGCCACTATTTTGCTCTTGATTCGCATCGAGAAAAAATGGACCAAGTCTCTACTTTACCCTATTGCCTTTTTCCCAGTCCCTCTATTCGGCCTGCTTCAGTTTCCTATGTATCAATTTGTCATAACCATGTTTCTGAAAATGGATGCCTGGTTTTTAAAACCCTTACTCCTCTTCCTTCACCTTCGCAAGAAGAAATTAATTTGGGACCAGACTAAGAAGAAATTAATTTGGGGCAAGACCAAAGCGCATTGAATCACATACACTTTTCGTCAAAGCACAATATATGGTGCAGATTCACCGTCTTGCAACATAAATATTTTATTTATTGTTATCATTTGAATATTTCGAATTTTTCTTATTTTCTTCCTATTTTAACAATGTTATTGTGTCTTCATTCACAAGTACGGGCAATAAGTGAAGAATAAAGGCTTGTCAAAAATTGTTGCTAAAAATTATGTCTCCTGCATGCTTTTATTGATTTGTAATCATCACTACCCGGCCGGGTTCAAACCCTACTCTCTTCTCTTTGCGTAAATTAAATAATGATATCGCGGAGATACTTGAGCGGCGTCCTCAGGCAGTCGAGCATGTTAACTGTTACGGACGCAATATTTTGCATCTGGCCATTAAGAACCGTCAGAAAAAAATCCTTGATCTTATCCAAAGCAATCCAACTCTGATGTCAAAGCTGAATAAGAGGATAGACCACGATGGAAACACCATATTGCACCAGGCTGCGGATAGGACTTACTACTCTATAGCATTGTCTCAGAAATTAATAGGCCCTGCCATGCAATTTCAAGAAGAGCTGCGCTGGATGCTGGTAATGTTCTCTTGCTAGACTTATGTCGTCACACAGATATTTGTATTACTGATTAAGTCTATCAACCTTATAAATTCTTATGTTGTTAGACAAATATTTCTATTACAAAATCTATACGTTGACATGATAAATGTGTACGTGTGTTTGTGTCAGCGTATAAAAGAGATGCTACCGCCTCATTACATCATGCACCACAACGACAAGGATCAGACAGCGGAGGAGTTGTTCAATGCTGGGCATGACAAGCTTCTGAAGTCCGCACAAGAATGGGTAAAAGAAACGGCTCAGTCATGCTCAACCGTGGCGGTGCTAGTGGCCACTGTGGTCTTTGCACCCGCCTACGCCATTCCTGGGGGTAATAACCAGAGTGGTCGTCCTGTTTTCGAGAACAATCCTCTCTTTTTGCTCTTTACCAGCATGGACGTTGTGGCCATCGCCTGCTCATTATCTTCTGTGGCATTCTTTCTCTCGGTCCTCTCTTCCCCTCTCGAGTACCCATATTTCGTTAAAAGCATTCCTCGCAAGGTCATGATAGGATTCGTTTTTCTCTTTTTGTCCATGGCAACCACCATGCTCGCCTTTGCTGCCACTATTTTGCTCTTGATTCACATCGAGAAAAAATGGACCAAGTCTCTACTTTACCCTATTGCTTTTTTCCCGGTCCCTCTATTCGGCCTGCTTCAGTTTCCCATGTATCAATTTGTCAAAATCATGTTTCTGAAAATGGATGCCTGGTTTTTCAAACCCTTATTCCGCTTCTTTGGCTTTCGCAAGAAGAAATTAATTTGGAGGAAGATTAATGCGCATTGAATCACATAAAATTTTCGTCGGAGCACATGCAATATGTGGTGCAGATTCACCATCTTGCTACATAAATATTTTATTTATTGTTATCATTTGAATATTTCGGATTTTTCTTATTTTCTTGCTATTTTAACAATGTTATTAATTGTGTCTTCATTCACAAGTACAGGCAATAAGTGAAGAATAAAGGCTTTCACAAATTGTTGCTAAAAATTATGTCTCTTGCATGCTTTTATTGATTTGTAATCATCACTACCCGGGTTCAAACCCTATTCTCTTCACGTAAATTAAATAATGATATCACTTGTAATAAAATTAAGAAATAAAATATAAATCTTATTTAAGCGTAATCAAGTTGATTAGATTAATCTAGACTCTTGGATTGAGCCTGTTGTACGAAGAATTACATGTAATGTTACATAATCTATATATGCGTGCTTCTTAGAGCAACTCCATCCCTAAAAAATGAACTGGCCCAAAATCTATTTAATCCATCCAAATGAATAGTAATTGACTCCAATGAACGGTAATTACCAAGTGCATCTCTACCCCTAAAAAATGAGCTGGGCAACAGTCTAGTCAATTTGTATTAAAATATTATTAAATTTTTTATAAAATAATAAAAAAATATTTTTATTTTTAATTTCGGATAGAATTTTTAACCAATCTTTTTACGCCACGTGTCATTTTCTGAAAATACAATTTTGTGAAAGATAGTTAGGTATTTATATATATAATATTTTTTTCTGTATTTTAAAATAATTTTTTATTAAGTTAATTGATCTAGACCGTTGGATTTCAAAAAAAATGAAATCCAACTGTCCAAAAGTGGACACGTGGCCCACAGTAAGATTCTGGCAATTTTTTTTTTCTTAATGCTAGAACACACGCCCACGCGCCAATTGCAAAAAAAAAAAAAAAAAAAATCACATGGCTAACATCAGCCTAACGTTATGTAGGCCGGTCTTTTTCTCAATCCATTATGTGCTGGACTCAAAGCTGACCTTCACTTTGGGCTAGCCTATTGGGTGGGGTGGAGTGGGTTTTTGGGGGACTGGCCTTAAAAATAGACTTTGGGCTAGCACATTTGTTAGGGGTGGAAGTGCTCTTATAAGCATACAAGTTTAAACCGCATTGATGTGCACACACTTGTATGTGTGTGTGTGTGTGTGTGTGTGTATTTTTTGTAACGCTCCCTGTCTTGGGTCTTGAATCAGTGTCTGTATTTGTTTACACTGCAATCCCCTCTTAGAGGGCCATCCATGGTTCCTGAAGTGTGCAATAGTTGCAGCCGATTTCATGGCTTCCATGGACTTGTACATCATGTAACTGGCCCCAGTTATAACTTAGCCAATGGGACGGCTTGTTAATTGCCTGTCAATGAAGTTTGTACTGTTAATTAGGCGGTACCTATTGAATCGCCGTTTAATCTTATAGGCTCGATCGTACTAAAAGATGGTCTCTGGCATAGTGAATGAAAATGATGCAGCACCTGAAGTGCGAATTTTTTTTATGTGAATAAGTTGTTTTTAGTGGAACTTATTATGTGAATTTTTATGTGAATTTTTTTTTATGATGCAGCACCTGATAAGTTCTTTTTAGCTAATAAGTTTTTTTTTTTATGTGAATAAGTTCTTTTTAGCTAATAAGTTCTTTTTATGTGAATTTTTTTTTATGGATGCCCAAAAGCCTACTGATTAAAGTGCTTATATGGTTTAAATATGAAGTTCTTTCACTACAGTCTCCTACGTTTTAGATTGAATCAATTCGATTATCTCCAATTCCTTGTTGGAATTTTGGATCGCCGGACCCGTCTTGTTCTAAGAACACCGATACTGTCTCAAACTTTACCACCTACCCAATTCATCAGGTGTGGGGTTTTACCACAAAAAACCTCGGTATTAGTTATAATAGGGTAATCCTATTTAAACCCATTGGGTTTCTTTGAACCCACCGATGTGGGATTCTTAACACTCCCCCTCACGTGTAACCTCATTTAGTGGTTCACACGTAGAGATCCACATCGGTAATTGAAACTCAGAGGTCGGCTCACGTTGGGCCCACTTGTTTTCAATGGAACTCAGTGGTCGTCTCTATATTAAGAGTTCAGACTTATTGTGTTATGGATGACAAGCTCGTTGGCTTGCACACAAGCTCATTGGCTTGCACAGGCGCAACCGTGGGCTCTGATACTGATCAGCTCATATTTATATATATATAGATATATATATATATATTTTTTTTTTTTACATCAAATTCACTTGTCTTTTCTAAGTTAGTTCCTTATATTTTTGAGCTATTTACTTTGTTTTTTGTATTTTGTAGGATTTGTCAAGCAAAGAAAAGAAAAATAGCACAAGTGAGATTTTAAATAACAAATTCGTCAAAACTGCCTGTGCAGATCAGCTGACTTTGGAAGCAAGTTATGAACAGCTCATAATGAATTTGAGAATAAGCCTTATATGCTTGGAAAGCTACAAATGTCTATTTTCTGGAACATTTCACGGATTGTTAATATCATTTTTCTAGAAGAAGTTATGGTCATTTTAACACTAAAAGGTTTACAAAAGACTGAGCAGTTTGTAACTGCAATGAAAACAATAAACCCAATAAATCTAGCAGCCAAAACTAATGCAACTAAGAACAAGTCAACTGATACCTATTCAATTATCAGAGAAAATGGAATTAAAGATGAGGATGTTACAATTGTGTTACCATTTCCTCTCACTTATTGTCATCACTAAATGGCTATTACTGGGTAAGTTAAGGAGAAGAAAATGGGGCAGCAAAAATAAAAAGGGAAATAGGCTGCAGGTTGCAACGGCAAGGTGGAAGGATAGAAAAAAATAAAACAAAAATAAAAAGGGAAACAAAAGGGGAGCTAACGGAAAAAGCAATAGAGAAGGAAGGAGAAAATCTTGGCATTCTCTTCTTTCAGTTTCATCTTCTCAAACTCATGTCTTTCTTTTGGTTTTATTTAAGGATTATGTGTAACTAAATTTTTAGTAGTTAGGGGCCGTTTTGAAGGCCCGAATATGATTGCAAGTTTGTTATGACATTTCGTTTGAATTACTTTTATGAATGGATGAAAATTGGTTCACTACTTATGTCAGTGATGAGTTCTTTATGTGTTTTCTACGAATGCATACTTAGTAAGCATATCTAGGATTCTAACGTTATGAATATATGTGTGTTTGCCCTTGTCGAATGAGGACCTACATATGTTTTAGAGTAGTACTTGTTAATTGCGATTAACATGTGAACCAATTTCTAGGATAAGTAGACAATGCTAGTACTTACGATGCCATGTGATGACTCAAACTCTTTTCATTCTTAATGATTTCTACTTGTTAAATCTATGAACACGCCATTCTAGATTGCATGTTAGAGACTAAGTTAAGTTGAAAACGTCATTCTCTTAACATACTACATAAGAAAGAGTAATAGGTTGAGTTCTAACATTGAGCCAACTTGAGCATCTTCATCCAGAAATAAAAGGAATTTGAATGAAACATAACATGTTTGCATGATTATTTGGTGGTGGATAGCAATTTCCCTAACTCGTTTTCTTATCTTGTGAACTACAATCTATTTTTATTATTTAAAATATGTTTCTATCCTGTTTTTGTTCGATTTAATTTAAATAGCAAATCAACTCCAAAAATCCCAAAAATTTGTGTGAAAGTAGCTCTGTGTGTTTAGTATCTGCATATAAAATTTTGTACACTTTAGATAAGTGTAAGTGGCTCTAATAATTAATTTTCGATGGCTGGTCAGTAAAGACAGCAACCCAGTTTTTGTGACATTTTAAGTAGTTAGATAAAACAATCTTTTGTAAGAAAGACCTTTATTTTCATATGCTACAATTGACAAATCTTAATGTTCATAAGGAAAATCAATAGGACATTTGTGTGACACTTTGTGGTGTGTTTTTAATCCTATCAGATACCATGTTGAATTTTGGATTGCTGGGCCCACCCCACTCTAACGACACCAATATTGTCCTCAACTTTATCACCTGCCCCATCCATCAGATGTGGGGTTTTACCATAAAAGGCCTCGGTATTAGTTAGAGTAGGGTAATCCTATTTAAACCCAATCTATCAGGTGTGGGATTTTACCACAAAAGGCATTGGTATTAGTTAGAGTAGGGTAATCCTATTTAAACCCATTGGGTTTCTTTGAACCCAATGATGTGGGATTCTTAACACCGATATAGTCCCCAACTTTACCACATGTCCAATCCGTAAGGTGTGGGGTTTTACCACAAAAGGCATTGATATCAGTTAGAGTAGGATAATCCTATTTAAACCCATTGGGTTTCTTTGAACCCACCAATGTGGGATTCTTAACATTCCTTGGGTGGACGGATTCCATTCTCCAATTCTTGTCGAGAGATTCCATTCCTCTAAAATGGCTTGTTTGGTGCTGCAAACTGACTTGTCCAATTATACAGAAAATCAAACAAAGATATTTACACAGCCGGTGACAGCCTCACACCTTTCAAAGGTTTACCCATCTCGAGTGGCAATGCCGAGTCGTGGTTGTTGACAATGTACCTCGACGGAGAGCTACAGATTACGAGGAAAGACAACGGCAGCATATTCATGCTACTCAAGGAAGGCCGCAGCCCCTCCTAACTCCCTAGACAAAGCTCACCAGAGCAACTTGTATCATGTGTTGTTTATATGTATGTACCTATTCAAGGACATGAGACGTAATTTTCTACAAAGAAAATGATAAATAAACACCCTTGTTACGTTCTACGGTTGTTTCCGTTTAGTTTATATTATACAGCTATATCCATCAAATAGAAGTTTGGAGAGTCATGTTGTTATAGTACAAATGACTAGCAGTAGGTGTCTTCCACTGCTCATGAATGATATGAATGGTTCTGCACTAAAAACCAGTTGTGAAGGTGATGCTCGGGAATGACACAAAAGACTGGAGCATTTAAATTTCAACAACTTGCAGTTGTTATTAGATAAGGAAATGGTGATGAGACTAATAAAACTCAAGCAAGTAAGGGTGCATTGTAGAAATGCAGCACATAGATGCCTTCAGTAAAGCACAGACTTGGAGAGCAAGCAAGCCTCTAGAATTAATCCATTCTGATGTTTGTGGACCAATATAGGTCACAACATTTAGAGGAAACAGATATTTCTTGACTTTCATTGATGATGCAACTAGAATGTGTTAGGTTATCTTCTGAATCACAAATCAAAAGTGTTCAAAGTGTTTAAAGTGTTCAAGAAATTCAAAGTCATGGTTGTATTGTAGAGTGGCTACAAAAGTCTAAAGTTAAGATGTGACAGAGGTGGAGAGTACAACTCTCATGAATTTAATCAGTTCTGTGAAAATTTGGGGCTTGAGAAACAGTTGACAGTGGCTTATTTTCCACAGCAAAATGGTGATGTTGAGAGGAAGAATAGAACTATTGTTGAAATGGTTAAGAGTATGCTTCATGACAAGCATTTGCCTTATGAATTTTGGGAGAATCAGTCAACACAGCTGTGTATCTTCTCAATAGGTGTCCAACCAAGGTTGTGGAACACAAAACTCCCTTTGAAGCCTTCAGTGGAAGAAAACCAGGTATTCAACACTTAAAAGTGTTTGGAAGTATTTGTTATGGTCATATACTTGGACAATTAAGATATATAGAAGCTTGATGAAGCCTCTATGAAAGGTATATTTGTTGGATATGGAAAGATGGAGAAAGGATACAGGATTTTTAATTTGAGTACCAAGAAAAGATGGAGAAAGGATACAAGATTTTTAATTTGAGTACCAAAAAGATTTTTTTGTCAAGAAGTGTTGTGTTTAATGAGAAGGGTACTTGGAATTGGGATGCATAGAATTATGACAAGCTAACATTTGCTGTTAATATCAATCTACCTGAGATTGATCATGGAGTTCATCTAGAAGAGAGCAAGTGTACAACACATGAGTTCACAGATTCTCAATCTGATAGTGGTGAATCAAGCACAACTAAAGCTACACCAGTCAAAGAGAGATCATTGAGTGAAATCTATGCTAGATACAATGTAAGCATGATTGAACTAGAGAGTTTCACTGATGCTGCCACTGATATAGCTTGGAAGAAAGCAATGGATGCTAAGATTGAGATGATTGGGAAGAACAAGACTTGGAAATTGGTTGATAAACCATTAGGCAAACCCCTTGTTGGAGTGAAATGGATCTACAAGACCAAATTAAATATGGATGGGACAATTCAGAAGCACAAGGCAAGACTAGTTGCCAAGGGGTATACACAGAAGCCAGGGGTGATTTCAATGAAACTTTTGCTCATGTTGCAAGATTGGATACCATCAAAACACTCATAGATTTAGCAGCTCAAAAGAAGTGGAAGTTGTATCAATTAGATGTGAAATTAGCTTTTCTAAATGGTGTATTGCAAGATGAAGTCTTCATTGATCACCAGAGGGTTATGTTGTGCAAGGTGTAGAAGATAAGGTCTACAAGCTTAAGAAGCATCAAGGGCTTGGTATGAAGAAATTGATGTTCACTTGCATAACTATGGATTTACTAGAAGTCCTAGTGAAGCAACATTGTATATGAAGTCAATAGGAGAAAATGAAAGCATTGTTGTCTTTATCTATGTAGATGACATTATCTACACAGGTAGTAGCACTGAGTTGTTGGAAGAATTTAAGTGTGACATGATGAGAATATATGAAATGATAGACTTCAGACTGCTATATAATTTTCTTGGAATGGGAATTCTTCAATCTAAATCTGGAATTTTCATTAACCAAAGGAAATATGCAGTGAGTTTACTGCAAAAATTTGGGTTGAAGAATTGCAAACTTGTTAGCACTCCATTGGTGGTGAGTGACAAACTCAAGAAAGATGATGAAAGTGAGAAAACAAATGAAAATGTCTATAAACAATTGGTTGGAAGTCTTCTATATCTAACTGCAACCAGACCATATTCATGTTTGCAGCCAGGTTACTTGCTAGATTCATGCATAGACCAACAAAGAAGCATTTGGGAGTAGCAAAGAGAGTGCTCAAATATAATACAAGGCACATTAGACTATGGGATTAAATATGAGAAAGGCAAAGAATCAATTCTCATAGGCTATTATGACAGTGATTGGAGTGGTGATGAAACTGATATGAAAAGCACTTTTGGATATACATTCTCATTTGGAAGTGGGCCTTCTCTTGGGCCTCGGTTAAACAACATAGTGTTGCTTTGTCAACAGTTGAAGCTGAGTACATGAGTACAACTGAAGCAACCACTCAAGCTGTGTGGTTAAGGTTTGTAGTCCAAGATTTTGGTGAAGAACAAGCTGAAGCTACCCCCATCTACTGTGATAATACATCTGCCATTGCTATGACAAGGAATCCATTGTTCTATCAAAGAACAAAGCACATTGGAAGAAGGTATCACTACATTCGAGAAGCATTGCAGTCAAACATTATCAAACTGATCTATTGCGAATCAGAAGATCAACTTGCTGATATTTTCACCAAGGCACTTCCCAAAGATCATTTTTGTGCACTCAGGGAGAAGCTCGGAGTTAAACTAGCTACCAGCTTAGAAGGGAGTGTTGGAGCATAAGCATGGCAGCTGGTTCAGTCATTCAAGGTTGCAGCAATGAAGAAGAAGAAAAAGCTTGAAATTGTTCAATCAAATTGTGTATTGAACAAACAAGATTAAAACATCTTAATGGTGTGTATCTTGCCACGTGTCCAGTTAGTTAGAAATTAAGTGAAAGCATGTGTGTTGCACGTGATCATAGTCACGGTGCTTTGATGTAATTACAACAGCTATATAGCCGAGTTTGTAGGTGATTTTTGTGGGATCGAATCCAACGTGAATTCAAAGAAAGCAACGTAATATCCTTCTTGAAAGTTCATCTCTGTTATTCCCTCTACAAATTCATTTCAATTTCTCGTCGAATTAATCACAATTACTTAGAGAAATCTAGCTCAAAAGGTAACTCAAACACTAACAATTTCTCCTCATGACATCTTCATAGGCAAAAGCTTCAACTCTTTCATATTCCTTAAGCTATCCTCTCTTTCTTTCTGATCCGGCTGGACCACGTTTTGTTCCGGCCGAACCGTTGGCATTTTCTGATACTCCATTCGTAGTGTACCAGATAGCTTGGGGCATGTAATGTGGCTTGTTGCTTTGATTATAGGCCAGCTGCTCGTGCTGCTGAATTAAGTAACAAAGAATGCTGAATAATAAAGCACAAAGGATCGAAGAGTCAAGGTTACTAGCTTTGCGGCGTTTAATGTCAATGTGGTGGTTTTTGCTTTGATTTAATAAATCAAGGTTTTAGGCCCGGCTAGCTGCTACTACTGCTGCTTCTACGTACTTAATATATGCTTTGCTTTGCTTTGCTTAATTAATTAATTAACAAAGAACGTTGGAAAGCATAAAACCACCAAATCCATCGATTCGAACTCTTAAAATTTGATCTAACGGTTAAAGTTATTATAACTTCCAATAAGGCTCCCTATTTTTGGCCATTGGATTAAATTTCAAGGATCCAGATTAATGAATTTGAGGGATTTGGTGAAAGGGATTTGGAGAAGATCCCTTTCCCTTTTCAATATGCTTTATCCGTACAAGCAACTACCTTTGAAAGCATGCAACACATACCTATATATATATATATATATATATATATATATATATTTAAATTGTTTTATTTGAGGGATGTATTAGTATAATATAAACAAAACGGAAACAACCGACAGAACGTAACAAAGATGTTTGTTCATCATTTTCTATGTAGAAAATTACATCTCATCTCATGTCCTTGAACACGTACATAAATATATATAACACACGATACAAGTTGCTCTGGTGAGCTTTGATCAGGGAGTCAGGAGGGGCTGCGGCCTTCCTTGAGTAGCACGAATATGTTGCCGTTGCCTCTCCTCATAATCTGGAGCTCTCCGTCGAGGTACATTGTAAGCAACCACGACCGGGCATTGCCACTCGAGATGGGTAAACCTTTGAAGGGTGTGAGGCTGCCGTCATCGGCTGTGGAAATATCTTTGTCTGATTTTCTGTATAATTGGACCTGGCAACTTGCAGCACTAAACAAGTTGGAATGGAATCTCTACATAAGGAATTGGACAATGGAATCGGAATTGGAGAAAATCGAATCGATTCAGTCTAAAACTTAAAGGAGACTCTAGCATAAGCACTAGTATTTAAACCACATACCAGCACTTTAATAAATAGGCTTTTGGGCATGCTTGGAAATGTTTCACTAAAAGAAAATTCTCATAAAAAAATTCGCACATCAGGTGCTGCATCCTTTTCATTCATTATGCCAGAGACCAATATTTTAGTTCGATCGAGCCTGTAAGAAAACTGGGATTCAACAGGTACCGCCGAATAAACAGTACAAACTACATCGAAAGGCAATTAACCAACAGTCCCATTGCACGCTTCAGGAACCATGCATGGCCCCCTCAGAGGTGATTGCACATATAGCTAAGAAACAATTATTGACACACAATCCAGCTCATCGTAATAGTTTTCTGTTTACTTTGTGTAACTAATTGTAGTCTTAATGTAATTAGTTACACTTGATTAGGTGCTAATCATTATTGACAGTTGTATATATACACAGTTGTAAAGATTCTTTCAATTAATGAAAACAGAACAATTCACAATTCTCATATGGTATCAAACGCCTTTGCTTAACCGCCTCTTCGCTATCCTCTCCATCTCTTTGCGATTCCAAAAAAGAGCTAAGAAACAGTACGTTAGTAACCTTAACTCTTCGATTCCTTTATGCTTTATTATTCAAGATTCTTTGTTGCTTAATTACAGCAAATGGTAACTTTAAATATCCAGCTAGAAAATGGTAACTTTAAATATTCGATCATTTTAAGCTTTACTCAGATGGACTATAAATCAAACCGAAAACCACCACATTAAACTCACCAAGCTGGCTAGTACTCAGATGGAGTCCCAGAGAACGCCCACTGTTCCACCATGTCAAAATGAGGAAGACGACCTAAAGAATAAGGTAGCAAGATTAGAAGACATGAAAATCCCTTATGAACATTTCATACAGGGTAACTGGGAAGGCGTGAAGAAATACTATGAGAGGCATCCGGCAAAATTGCTCAGGCCAATGACGCTGAACGGGAACAATGTACTTCACCTTGCGGCTTCTTACAGCAGCAACTGTCAAAGAGACCTCAAATTTCTTATTGATATATGCAGCGGTTCAACCAGCAACATGAGTTGTTCTTTGAGGATTCCGAATAATGATGGAAACAATGTTCTTCACCAGGTGGCTGTGTCCGGCAGTGTGGAAGCGGCTGAGTTCTTGGTGAACAAATACAACGACCCTGTCCCAGACATTTGTCATACTGATGAAGAGAATGATACGCAGCCGCTGCTGTGGACTCGGAACAAATTAGGAGAAACTCCACTGTACAGAACGGCTGCTTTCGGTCACACTAAATTGGTCAAGTTTTACTGTGACAAACTGAAGGCAGAAAGTCCGGACAATCTAATTAAGAAGCAGTTCAAGAGATCTGACAAAATCTCCATTCTTCATATTGCTGTCATCGCCCAACATTTTGGTCTCTCTCTCCCTCAAAAATGCATACATTGATTCACAACACGTAATATATATGAAGAGATGCAGATTAATAACTTTTGCTCTTTTGTCTTCCACAATGCAGAGACTGCTTATTGTTTGCTAAAGAGGTACAGGAATCTAGGAAAAAAGAGAGACGCAGAAGGATTGACAAGCCTTCAGTTGTTAGCCCAAATGCCAACTGCCCTTGAGCCACGGTTTCAAGAAAGCCAATGGAAGATGCTCATTTATCATTGTACGTATCCTTACTCAACTGCTATGTACAAGAGTATGATTGTGCGCGCCTTTTCTTTGTAAAGCATTAATATTATAGTTAATTATTGTTATATATGCAGGCCTTCCTGATGGAGGTGATATGGTCACACCAAATCAGAAGGATGATGTGGAGAGCAGCACGGATAGCCACCATCCCCGTCAATCCATCTTTCGGAACAAGTTTGCAGGTAATCTAATTAATTGATCGAATAATTAAACGGCTACCTAGCTAAATCGTTTACTCCAGTTGGATTTTTTCAATGTTCCTAACGAAGTTGCTTGCATAAATAAAATGGTTGGCAGTTGTTGTGAAGGCTTACTATTCATTAAAGAAATCCCTTGCTAAAGGTTTGTTTACTTTCTGCCTTTGCCTCAGCGTATTTTTATCTAGGCGAACTCTTGTTACTGGGACTCTACAAAAGTCATTACGCACTTATTTCTTATGATTTTACAATAGAAAAAGTAGAGTGCATGATGACTTCGTTGGAGTACCAATAACAACTGTCTAATTATGACACACTAATGTATACATATGCTTGATCATGTGATAAATAGAAGAAGGAGGCCTGCAGGGCGGCATAATATATAGGATATGGAAGGACAAGAAAAATAAAAAATCACTAAAGAAACTCATCAAATTGCTCGTCGAGGATGACCATTCTTGGTTCACTACTAACAAGGACGCAAAGCCCAAGGCTGTTTCTGTGGGGCCAGTGAATAAAGATCGTGATTCCGGTGGCGAAATAGGAAAGGAAGCAACCAAATCGGGTAAGGGGGCGAAGATTGAAGTTTACAACTCTACCCCATTGCTTATAGCAACTATCAAAGGAATTATGCCCATTGTGGAAGAGATACTTAAGCAGCATCCTCAGGCAGTCGAGCACCTTAACAACGACGAACAGAACATTTTGCATCTGGCCATTCTGAACCGTCAGACAGAGATCCTTAATCTTATTCAAAACAAACCAACTTTGAAGTCGAAGCTGAATGAGAGGATAGACAGCAATGGAAACACCCTTTTGCACCATGCTGCAGATAGGAGTTACTATTCTATATCGTTGTCTCAGAAATTAATAGGCCCTGCCATGCAATTGCAAGCTGAGCTGCGCTGGTTCCTGGTAATGTTCTCTTGCTAATGTTGTTGCACAAATATTTATATTACCGATTAAGTCTATCAATCTTATCAAATACTTATATTGTCAGGCAAATACTTATGTTACTAATTAAGTCTGTTCACTTTGGTAAAAGACTCATGTTGTTAGACAAATACTTCTATTACAAAATCTATATATACGTGGCCATGATTAATGCGTACGTACGTGTTTGTGTCAGCGTGTAAAAGAGATAGTACCGCCTCATTACACCATTCACCACAACGAGAAGGATCAGACAGCGGAGGAGATGTTCAACTATTGGCATGACCAACTTCTGGAGGACGCACAAAAATGGGTAAAAGAAACGGCTCAGGCATGCTCAACCGTGGCGGTGCTAGTGGCCACTGTAGTCTTTGCAGCTGCCTACGCCATTCCCGGAGGTACTAATGACCAAAGTGGCCTTCCTGTTTTTCGGGACGATCCTCTCTTTTTGCTCTTCACCTGCATGGACGTTGTGGCCATCGCCTGCTCATTATCTTCTGTGGCATTCTTTCTCTCGGTCCTCTCCTCCCCTCTCGAGTACCCATATTTCGTTGACAGCATTCCAAAAAAGATCTTGACAGGATTCGTCTTGCTTTTCTTCTCCATGGCAACCACCATGCTCGCCTTTGCTGCCACCATTTTGCTCTTGATTCGTGTAGAGAAGAAATGGACCAAGTCTCTACTTTACCCTATTGCTTTCTTCCCGGTCCCTCTATTCGGCCTGCTGCAGTTTCCTATGTATCAAACTTTCAAACTCACGTTTCAGAAAATTCATGCCTGGTTTTTCAAACCCTTACTCCGCTTTACTGGCATTCCCAAGAGAAGATCAATATGGGGCACTGAGTAAGGCATATAGAATCACATAAACTTTTCATCGTAGCACACTATGTGGTGCAGATTCACAGGCTTGCAACATAAGTATTTATTTGTTGTTATCATTTCAATATTTTGGATTTTTCATATTCTCTCCTATTTTCACATTTTTATTGGGTCTTCATTTACAAGTATGGGCAATAAGGGCTAGTCTAAAATTGTATGCTAAAGATTATGTCTCTTGCATGATTTTATTGATTTGTAATGGATTATTTTGATGGATAATAATATCGCTTGCAGTAAAATTGATAAATAAAAAATAAATCATATTTAAGCGTAATCAAGTGGTTAGACTGATCTGCTTCCCTTCTACACCAACACTCACATATCCATGATAATTAAGTGATTATACTTGGCCATAGGGCTACCTCATAGGCAGTGGCTGAGGTCAATGCTTTTGTCAAGTTGGTCTACCCATCCACCTAGCATGGCGACTTCATAATGTTTTTCTCAGTTGAAAAGGAGAAAAATATATGAAATAATGCATTTTTTGTTCACCCCTCATTGGTTACCATTATAATTTTTTATTTAATTAATTTAAGAAACAAATCTTAAATTTAAACGAATTTAACAACAACTAATGAGGGCAAAAGATTTAAACTCAAAGAAAGGTGATTGAAAAGAGAAAGAAGGTGACGCATGGCCTGGGATACGGCGGTGTTAAAGGAAAGTATATTTGGTTAAACTTGATTGTAGGGAATGTAAATAGTCAATGATCTGGTTAAATCTATCTTAGGACCAGATTGCAATCAACTTGTAATTAGAGATTTGTTTCCTAGAATAGGCTGCATCTGATTGTATAAAGCTTGTATCCTTGTATGAATGATCTATCGAAAATAAACTATTCAGTGAACACTTCAAATTTAATATGGTATCAGAGCACCGATCCTGGTGACTCTAGGCGTCCATTCCACTTCCGCTACAAACAAAACCCAAATTTTTTCCAACATACACAACCAACATGGGCGATGAAAAATCAGCCGAGATGGTGCCACATGCATCTGACCCCCTCATCCTACACCACTCAGATTCACCCAGTCTCGTTCTGGTTTCACAACTCCTCGACGGACACAACTACGGACAATGGAGTCGATCTATGCGCATCGCCCTCAATGCCAAGAACAAACTTGGATTCATTGATGGATCCATCAAATGCCCTGCAATTACGGACTCCAAATTTTCAACTTGGCAGAGATGCAACGACATGGTCTTGTCATGGATTTGGCAGTCTGTGCAAAGCAACATCGCACGCAGCGTACTCTACTGCAATACTGCATCCGCAGCATGGAAGGATCTTGAGGATCGATTCTCACAAGGAAACGATTCCAGAATCTACCAAATTCGACAAGAAATCGTCGAACACCGACAAGGACAACTATCTGTTTCAGACTATTACACCCAGTTAAAGGCTCTCTGGGATGAATTGGCTTCGTATTATGAACCAATTGCTTGCGATTGTGAGGGATCCAAGACTCGTGTAGAAAGGGAAGAAAAAGAGAAAGTCATGCAATTTTTAATGGGTTTGAACGAGACTTACTCAACCATACGAGGCTCCATCTTAATGATGAATCCGCTCCCTGATACTCGACGTGTACACGGGTTGGTTCTGCAACACGAACGCCAAATGGATGTGGCAAATCATCGTGAACCTGGTGCGCACGCAATGCAAACACATCGGTCCACCATGCCAAAGGGATGGTCTGCACCTGGGAGTTCCAGTTCCCGCAAATCGTCCAAATGCAGCTGCTGTGATGGCTCATATTCCGTCGAGCGCTGCTATTTTCTCATTGGGTTTCCTGAAGGTCATAAATGGCATGGGAAACATGTGCTGCCCAGAAACAAACGCCCTAATCCAACAGCCCACAATGTCGAAGCGCCCCAATCACAGGCCATTCATACCAACGCACCCAAGGCCCCATCCTTCAACGGGCCAACATTCACAACTGAAGAGTACCATCAACTTCTTGCCTTGCTTCGATCTGGAAATGGTAAAACTCCTCCACTTGCAAATGCAACAGGTATTGTCACACCCACATGTAATATAACGGAACATGACTTGCATTCAACTCTTTACTGGATTATAGACAGCGGGGCCTCTGATCACATATCACATTCACCCTTAACACATAATCAGATTGATGCTAAGCATGATTTTGTGGGGTTACCAAATGGGGGCACGACAGACATTAAGAGTATTGGTTCTGTACAACTATCACATGAGTTATTACTTGATGGAGTTCTTCATGTTCCAAAATTTCGTGTCAATTTATTGTCTGTGGGTAAACTCACACGGGCTCTCCACTGTATCGTAATATTTTTTCCGGATTTTTGTGTCATACAGGACATGGATACGAAGAGGACGATTGGCCTGGGCAAGCAATTTAATGGGCTCTATTACCTTACACCAAGTCAAAATCCCCATCTTACCAACCATGTTAGCCGCACCACCAGTCTCTGGCATCAACGCTTGGGCCACCCCTCTACACAACCTTTACATTTTTTGTCCAAAACAATCCCAGAGATTATGTTCGATTCCAAACATGTTTGTGAAGTTTGTCCTTTGGCCAAACAAACTCAATTGTCTTTTAATTCTAGTTCAATTCAATCCACTGCACCCTTTGACTTAATTCATTGTGACATTTGGGGGCCTCACAAAGTTCCCACATATTCCGGGACACGTTATTTTCTCACCATAGTGGATGATTTTTCTCGTTTTACATGGGTGCACCTTATGCGTTTTAAATCCGATACACAAACACTATTGAAATCATTCTTCTTTTGGGTCAAGACTCAATTCCACAAAAACATCAAAATTCTACGTGCTGACAATGGTGGAGAGTTTCTCTCCATGCGCACGTTCTTAGACACCTATGGCACTATTTTTCAGCATTCATGCGTTCACACCCCTCAACAAAATGGGGTTGTTGAACGTAAACATCGACATCTTTTGAACATTGGGCATGCACTTTGGTTCTAAGCCAATTTACCACTAAAATTTTGGGGTTGTTGAACGTAAACATCGACATCTTTTGAACATTCATGCTATCTTATCAATCGCATTCCCACACCCTTATTACTCCATAAATCTCCCTACGAACTTTTACATGGTCACTTGCCAAATTATTCTCACCTCCGCGTATTCGGATGTCTTTGTTATGTCACCAACCTTCACCCCAAACACAAGTTTGACCCTCGTGCTCGTCGTTGTCTTTTCCTTGGATATCCCCTTGGTCAGAAAGGTTATCGGGTTTATGACCTCGACACGCATCAAATCTCTACTTCCCGCGATGTCCACTTCCATGAAACCATTTTTCCCTTTTCCCAATCACCACCTGAACATGAGGCTGACTCCCTTGTTCTTCCTCTTATCTCTCCGGACTCATTACCCCCTTCACCCAGCCCACTCACTCCCGGCCCACTTCCTCCTAGTCCAAAACCCGATATCTTGGCCCATACCACTCCCCAACATCCCACTTTACCATCCCCAGTTTCCCCAGCTCCCACACCTTCCTCATCTCTACCCGACACCGTCCCAACCTCGTCCCCTTCTGTCCCCCCACCTGCACCGTCTCCACACCCCCCCATTCGACACTCCTCCCGACTGACACGACCCTCTGCGTATCTCAACGATTATGTGGCCCATCATGCTGGTTTACTTGCACCTGTCGTCGCCTCTTCCTCCGTGTCCAGCACCCGTCATCCCTTCCACCGGTATGTCTCTTATGCCTCCTTATCTCCTGCTCATCAGACATTCATCCATACTGTTTCTTCTCATATGGAACCCACATCCTATGAACAAGCTCGCCATGACCCTAATTGGGTCGCTGCCATGAACACTGAACTCCGAGCTCTCAAAGCCAATCAGACATGGAGCATGGTTTCCCTGCCTGCCAGTCATCGTGCCATTGGATGCAAGTGGGTTTTCAAAATAAAATACCATTCCGATGGAACAATTGAGCGGTACAAAGCCCGGCTCGTTGCCAAGGGCTTTACTCAATGAGAATGCATCGATTACAAAGAAACGTTTGCCCCTGTTGCTAAGCTGATCACTGTGCGATGCTTATTGACTGTTGCTGCTGTCCGTCATTGGCCCTTACATCAGATGGATGTGCAGAATGCTTTCCTTCACGGTGAACTTCACGAAGAAGTGTATATGGTGCCTCCACCTGGTTATCGTCGACAGGGGGTGATAGGAGCATATTTAGGCGACTTACTTAGCTTGTTTTCGTGCATCTATGTTGTTAATTCATAGTTGTTTTAGTAGTTTAAGCCATTTTCGTGTGTTTTTAGGTTCATATGGCTAAGGAAGCAAAAAGATGCATTTTGGAGCATTTTGGAGCAAAATTGGGCTTGGAATGGATAGCATATTTTTGGAGCCAAAGTGTTGGACGAATTTGAAAGCCTTGTATGCACTTTGGACATAAAACAAAGGGCCTAGCCCAATCAAACAATCCTTTGAGCCATGCAAAACCTCTAGCCCAATCAACAAGCCTTAGCCACATGCATTCACATGCATCACAACCCCAAAACCATTAATAAACACCCATTCACACACACTTGCACTCACATGCATTCACATGCATTTCCACCTTCCTACTTCATCATTTCACCACATTCTCCCTCTTTAACTCACATGCACCCAAACAAAGCCAACCTAGCTAACCCTACATGCATTATTTATTCACTCTTCATCATTGCATTCATCACCAAAGAACTCCCCATCATTGCCATGCATTCCCCCTAATTCCATCCATCTTCCACACCTTTCCAACCTAGCCACATCCTTTAATCATCCCCCCTTTAAGTTATGATTTTATTTCCTAACCCTACATGCATTATTTATTAACTTTTCATCATGCATCCACATTCATTCCAACACAAAACACACACATGCACTTATTCTTTCATCATTGCACCACCAATTCACCCACATGCATTTCCAACCATTCACACCCCTTTAATCATTCTCCTAGCTATCATTCACATGCTCTCCCATCCATTCTCTCCCTATATGTTCCCTCCACTACTCCTATAAATACCCTTGCATTCATTCATTCATTCA